TTTAACACCGGGTCTTGGTTAAATTCTTTAGAGGAGGGGTTGTCGACACGCCTGCTGCGCAGCAGAGTCGGTAGGTGGCGCTTTTGTGCTGTGCCTGTGATTTGGGCAGGACGAGACGGCAGGTGAGGCAGTGACGGTTGGCCCGCTCGGCGCCTGGTCAGGGACATGAAGGCAGCAAAGAAGGTGATCTGTAAGCAAGTGGGAAGAAACGTTAAGGGGAAAACCTCCCATATGCATAGAGCACTACCAACATATACACTACCAAATTTCTTTTCTTATTTTCTTAAACGTTATGCCTCTTTGCATGTATGTATGCATGTAACCTTAAATTAACTTGCCTGATACAGGAAGTCAAAAGCGACCCCCACGGCCGCGTAGGTACAGAAGGTCCGTACGGCCGGGAAGACGCTCGTGATGCCGGCGGTGAACGCGAGAAGTTGATAGTCAGCAAAGAAGCGTTATGCAGAGTGGAAGAAGGCAGGGAAATAATGGAAGATCGTGGGTGGGAACATGGGAGAAGAATCTGTTCTCAACTACTCTGGAACATTTTAACGGGGATGTCGATGTATCAGCTTTTTTCCTGCCAAACACCGTGATCATGGAGCAACATCTTCCAGTATCCCAGTGCCGTAGAGTACGCACCTAATATAACTATATTAAAGGTGTGGTTACATTAGGCCACAGTAAGTAATTTTCGCCTGATTTTGAAAAAAAAGAATTTTGTTGCCCTTTGACAGCTGTCAACATGCCGAAAATGGGCAAAATGGCATGTCTTGCCATGCTAAAAGGTGTATGGCAGATAAACATGAAGAGAGGAGACAAGCTAAGGCTCTGATTTATTGTTTTGATTTTTACTTTGATGCAGTGATGTATTTTATTCCTTGTATATGTTCCCACTGTATCAAAACCATTTGTACAATGATTGAAAACTCTTCTTTTTCAAAGTTGTTTCAGTGACAAATGGACGTTGTGATAGTTGGCAGTGAAGTTAGCACAATATATGTGTCATTTCTTGTTAAACAGCCGGGGGTTTATGATGTCAAAATTTGAAAATATAGGAATCTTGTTTTATAAGGCCTGCCTTAT